ATAGTGTTGTGAAAAGGGCATAAGCTTTGGTTTTAGACTAACTTGAGTTTTAATCCTGACTGTCAGGATTAAAAATCTCTCAGCCTCAAATTTTTCATCCATAAAATGAAGATAATACCTACCTCACGATGGTGAATATGTGGCATTAGCTGCTATTATTGTTACTAACAGTTATACTCTTGTAGGTTGATTCTGGATTTTTGCTTCTATTTATTTGAGTCATGTCTGACTAGTCCTACAGTGTAATATAAATTGAATTGGATTTTATACCTTGTTATCTGTATTTAGTTTGCAGATGCTGAAGGTTACTTTGCTGCTTGCACAACAGATACAACTATGAACAGTTCTTTGGTAAGTCCTTTTTTTGTCAGGAATGGAGAGGTGGGGTTGAGCCATGGTAGGAAAAACTGAAACAGTTTTGATGTTAGCAAAGCTATGTTACAACATAGATATGGCTCAATATTGGGTGCCCATCATGAGGATTGTAATTTGGTACTTTTTTTCTCCTTAGGGATACCTGGGGCCTAGAGGTAATCTATTTAGCTGCCTCTGAAGAGAGAGGGGAAGGGGAAACTGGTTCAGGAGTGAAAATAATAAAGGACAATCCTTTGTTACTAACCAACTTTTTTACTTCATGCACGTTATTATTATCATTTAGAAACACATATTTTTGACACTGAGACTATATAGGCAAATTGTTTGTGTATTCCACAAATTTTTTACAGTGACAAATATGTGTTAAACACTTGTTCTAGGCTCTGAAGATACAGCTTTGTTCTAGTGTGTGAGTGTGTGTGTATTTGCGAGGGGACAGGTAATAAGCAAGTAAAGTAATTGACGTAGTCACTTATTTTAAGCATTTGTAATCTAGTTGGAGAGGTAGTATATAAAAATCTGGTTTTTTTAAGATGATCACTCAGGCACCTCTTCTTTTATTTTTTATTTTTAGATTTCTTTTTAGAGACGGGGTCTTGCTCTGTTGCCTGGGATGGAGTACAGTGGCAGTGTTATGGCTCATTGTAACTTTGAACTGCTGGGCTTAAACGATCCCTTTGTCTCAGCCTCCTAAATACAAGCATACTCCACCACTAGCTTTTGATTTTTATTTTTTAGAAACATGATCTTGCTGTGTTGCTCAGGGTGGCATCTCTGTAAAATGTATTTTTAATGATACTTGTTTTCTTTCCAAACATGGCATTTTATCTGAGAAAAATTATAATTACTCTAAAATTTAATAGCAATTTGTGAAGCACTGGCTTGGTGACCTTACTCCCAGCACAGTTTTCTTGTTTGCCTCTCTGTTTTTTAGTGTAGGCTACAGTGGCATGCAGAGTAGGTTAATAGGTACTATGAAGAATTTTTTTTTTCCTGGGATTTTAAGCATCAATAACATAATTTAGTATCATTTGTCTCTATCAGTACAGAAGACAGAGTTGAGATGACAGCCTGCTCTTCTGACTACTCTTGTACTAATTCTTGCTATTATCTGTAAGATGGATATGTCAAATTGCTCTAGGCCAGATGCTATAGTGAAAACTTCAGTATAACAGAGAGATTATGTCTGTTTCCAAACCTACTGTCCCTTCATTTACTGAATATATATATTTTTTTATTGGTGGAGCTCTATACTAGGAGTTAAAAGAGAAATCAAAGAAATAAAAAAAGTTCTGTTAATTTTGAAGAGTTAGCCTAGTTGGAGATTTGTACCTTAAATGTAGATCATCTGAAGAACTTTTGTAAAAACAGTTGAGGAATTTATAACTACCTGAAAATATGGACCTTTGGAGCATGGTTAGACAAACCTGGCTTTAATTCTTTTGTCTACTACCTGATTACTTTATATCTCAGCTTTATTCTCTAAAATTATTAATATTATTATTATTGTTTTGAGATGGAGTGTCGCTCTGTCACCCAGGCTGGAGTGCAGTGGCAGAATCTCAGCTCACTGCAGTCTCCGCCTCCTGGTTTCAAGCGATTCTCCTGCCTCCACCTCATGAGTAGCTGGGATTACAGGCACACACCACTATGCTCAGCTAATTTTTGTATTTTAGTAGAGATGGGGTTTCACCATGTTGGCCAGGCTGCTCTCGAACTCCTGACCTCAAGTGATCTGCCCGCCTCAGCCTCGCGAAGTTCTGAGATTACAGGCATGAACCACTGCACCGGCCATATTCTATAAAATTATTGTGAGGACTAATGAGAAATATATGTTTAACTGCTCTAGAGTTGGTACTCAATACATAGTAAGAACTGGTAAGTAGTAGCTATTTTGTGTAAAGGTCTTCAAGAATTTTAGTTAATATAAGAGGAGACAATTTAGTAAATATTAAATACATACTATATACCTGGTTATCAGTTTGTTATCTGCCTTCCCTGTTAGACTGCATGATCACTGAGGAAGAGACTGTTTTTATTTACCCTTATTTCCCCAGGATGTAGAACAGCATCTGACCTGGTAGGAGCTCAATAAGCATTTGTTAAATGAATGAAAAGGAATGAGACATAATCTGTTAGCTGAGATAGAATCTGTTAGCTAAGAAAGTGATATGTTTTTATGACATTTAAATATTAGATATCATAATATGCCAATGCTGTTATATTACGTTTCTAAACTGTAAACTGGATTCTTTTCTGTCATTGTACCAGTATGGATCTGTTGAGTTTCCTTTTTTAAGTCTTGAAAATTGCTGTTTAAACTTGGTGGTGAACAACCATGTTTTAGATGGTATTTGTGTTTACGTACCATCCGTTTAAATTTTAACCAGTATATTAGCTTTTATATTTGTTGTTTATTTTTTTTTCTGTTATATTCCAGAGTGAACCTCTGTATGTTCCTGTGAAATTCCATGATCTTCCAAGTGAAAAACCTGAGAGCACAAACATTGATACTGAAAAAAGTAAGCAAAACTTAGAAATGGGTAGAAAGTTTAGCTTTATTCAGGCCACTTCAGAACTTAGTGATGATGTGGGTTGACTGAAACACCTAGCAATTCTGCTCCATGTGGTGTTGTCTCAGCCTAGAGTCTTCTAGAAGTTTGACTGGATTGTGAATCTAATATAGTATAATCATTTTTGTATTATTTCAACTGGAAATAATTTCCAAATACCAGAGATCTCTATGGTTTCATCATATATATGTATACACACATATACACACATGCATCACACGCATATATATATATATATATACTTTTTTAAACAAATAATATCCTCTTAAATATGCCCTCAAAGAGCCTAATAGCAGATTATAAGAATTTTGCTGCTTCTGTGAATTTAGTAAAGAATGCCACCTTTAACATAAGGTGCAGTATTTATCCTTAATTTCCCTTGCAAGGAATGGACCTATAGAGAATTGTTCTGTGTGCTTGCCCAGGAAACGAATTCTCATACATTGGATATGCATGAGGAAAAATCCAAATAAAGTTTTACTAGAAATACTAAAATAGTAATCAACTAAAATCCTGAAATAGGCAGTTGTGTATATACAGTACACAATTGCAGAAACCTTGTTCGAATATTGGTTTCATTTTAAACCTTTTACAACATTTTTGTAGATGAAAACATTTTTCCTTTTAGCTTTTTTAAGTGAACAAAGTTGTCTCAGGTAATGATATACCTCTGGTTTACTTTGACTGTCTTGCTCTGATCATAGATGAACTTATACGTTTATCAGTAAATTAAAACTTGTGACTTTTGTTGGAGAGGAATTATTTAGTTATTTCGTATTGTGCTTTTCCTTTTAAGCCCCCAAAAAGTCTCGTGTAAGGTTCAGTAATATCATGGAGATTCGACAGCTTCCGTCAAGCCATGCATTGGAAGCAAAGTTGTCTCGAATGTCATATCCTGTGAAAGAACAAGAATCCATACTGAAAACTGTGGGGAAACTTACTGCAACTCAAGTAGCAAAAATTAGCTTTTTTTTTTGCTTTGTGGTAGGTCTTTTTATGATATGTTTGCATATGATATTTGAAACTTGAATTTTAAGACAGTATATATACCAACAATATAGGATGGAAGTGTGAGACAATTAGGTTGTTTAATCATGACTTTAAACTCTGCTGTTTGAGACCTGTAGGAAGTTAGGGTATCAAAATTAGTAAATGCTTGATATAACTCAAAGAGTTAGCATTCAATAAGTCCTATAACACTTCAGCTATTTATATATATGCACAAACTTTTGAACACGCACAGTTTGGGAAGTTCTTCAGAGTTTAGCATTGCCTCATGATCAAAATTATGAATAGAGTTATTTTCCACTGTGATGTATGTATATACAAAGGTTAGTAAATATCCAGATAAGAGTTTACTGTATGCATTGATTTTTTTCAAATAAGTGTTTTGCAGTTTTATATTCATATAAATGAGGTTAAGTATTATTTTGTCAAGTACTCAGTATATTTCTACAGAATTTCTGGTTGTATTATTTATAGTTTCTTACTTTTTTAAGATAGAAACTGAAAAATGTGCTTAAGATTTCACATAGAATAATGATGGAGTAAATAAAGTATTGTTATTTTGGGCTAAGCTGGGATTAGAGACTTGTCTGAGTTAGTGAAAACTCTAACATGTAGAATTTAAAAAATGAATTTCTGTGCTATTTTATGTATACATCATTGGAAGTAGCCTAATCCAAGGTTTTTTAATATGAGCCTTTAAGATTCAAATTTATACCGAGCATCTTAAAACCCTAAATAATGAAATGCTAATGTCAATGTTATTAGCCTGATTATAAAATTTTTTTAATGTCATGATTTTGCCTTTCATACTCAAATAGCCCATTTTTCTCCATTCCCTGGCTCTACTAATAACACTACTCTTTATAGCAGATTTAAAGGTATGTGCAGATAATAGCCTTTTTAAGAATTAATTTTTGAAATTATAATAAAGTATACATAAAATACACCATTTTGATCATTTTTCCTTTTTTTTAAACGGAGTTTTGCTCTTGTTGCCCAGGCTGGGATGCAGTGGCACGATCTCGGCTCACCACAACCTCTGCCTCCTGGGTTCAAGCAATTCTCCTGCCTCACCGCCCCGAGTTGCTGGGATTACAGGCATGCGCCACTACAGCCAGCTAATTTTGTGTTTTTAGTAGAGACGGCGTGTCTCCATGTTGGTCAGGCTGGTCTCAAACTCCCGACCTCAGGTGATGTCCCCTGCCTCAGCCTCCTGAAGTGTTGGGATTACAGGCATAAGCCACCGCTCCCGGCCCTGATCATTTTTAAGTGTACAGTTAGTGGCATAAAGTACATTCACATTGTTGTGCAACCATCACCCCATCCATCCACAGAATTTTTTCATCT